ATTTACTCAAAAGCTAAAGATCAAAGCCCAGATACCATATTGGCTCAAGACAGAAAACAAAGCAACAAAGTTAAACCGAACATAATGAACAGAAATCTGCCCCACCTATCAGTTATCTCAATAAATGTGAATGGCTTGAACTCCCCACTCAAGAGACATAGGCTGGCCGAATGGATAAAAAATTCAAGCTAAGTATCTGCTGCCTTCAGGAAACACATCTAACCTGCAAGGATGCAGTTTGATTAAAGATAAAAGGGTGGAGAACAATATTTCAAGGAAACGGAAGCCAAAAGAAACCTGGAGTGGCAGTGCGGATTACAGGTAACTTAGTTTTTAAATCAACAAAAGTGATAAAAGACAAAGAAGGTCACTATATAATGGTGAAGAGTACAGTTTAACAAGAAGACATAACAATTCTAAATATATATGCACCCAATCTAGGTGCACCCAGATTCATAAAGCAAACTCTACTTGATCTAAATAAATGGATAAACAAGACCATAATAGTCAGAGACTTTAACACCCCACTGACAGCATAGGACAAATCCTCCAAGCAGAAAATTAACAAAGAAATAATGGACTTAAACAGAACTCTAGAACAAATGGGCCTGACTTTTACAGGACATTCTACCCCCAAACCACAGAATATACGTTCTTCTCATCAGCTCATGGGCCATTCTCTAAGACTGACCATATCCTAGGACACAAAGAATGTCTCAAACAATTTTAAAAAATAGAAATTATACCAGTATCTTTTCAGATCACAATGGAATAAATGTAGAAATCAACCCTAATAGGAACTCTCATTTCTACACAAAATCATGGAAACTAACCAATCTTCTGTTGAATGATCACTTCATAAATGAGGAAATCAAGATGGAAATCAAAAGGTTCTTTGAACTAAATGACAAAGGAGACACAAGTTATCAAAATCTGTGAGACACAGATAAAGCAGTCCTGAGAGGAAAGTTTATTTCTATAAATACCTATATCGAAAAGTCGAAAAGATCACAAATAGACAACCTAATGAATTGTCTCAAAGAGCTGGAAAAAGAAGAACAGACTGACCCCAAACCCAGCAGAAGTAGTGAAATCATTAAGATCAAATCAGAACTGAATGAAATTGACAACAAGGAAACCATACGGAAGAGTAGTAAAACAAAAAGTTGGTTCTTTGATAAAATAAACAAAATTGACACACCTTTGGCTAGACTAATGAAAAGCAGAAAAGAAAATCTCTAATAAGCTCCATCAGGAACAATAAAGGAGAAATTACAATGGATGCCATGGAGATATAATTTATGAATACTACAAAAATCTCTATGCACACAAACTGGAAAGTGTGGAGGAAAAGGACAATTTCTTAGAAACACACAGCCTCCCTAGGCTCAACCAGGAAGAAATAGAATTCCTGAACAGACCAATATCAAGTACTGAAATTGAAATAAAAAACCTTCCTAAAAAACCAGCAATAAAAAAACCTTCCTAAAAAGAAAAGTCCTAGACAGCATGGTTTCCACCAAATTTTTCACAACACCTACAAAGACACCAAACTGGTGCCTATCTTCCGCAGAAATTGATTGCCCACAGCATTGAAGATTGGCGGAATGGAAATTAGATCGTCCATGCATTTATGAAGCCAACAACCCTGATAACCAAAAACCAGGACAAGGGATGCAACAAAAAAAAAACTACAGACCAATATCCTTATGAATATAGATTTTGCAAAAATTTTCAACAAAAATCCTGCATCGAACCAGGTGGGCTGTCAAGAAAAATAATCCATCACAACCAGTGGCTTCATCCAGGGATCCAGGGATTGTAACATAACCAATCTTAATGTATGTCACCCAAAACAACAGAACAAAACAAGACCATATGTCTCATCAACAGATGCAGAAAAAGATTTTGACAAAATTCACACACCTTTTATATAAGGAACGTCACAAAAATACGGCATTAGAGGCTTACCCTAAAAATGATACAAGCATATATTTGACAAACCCACAGCCAAATATCATACTGAATGGGGGACAAATTGAAAGCATTCCTACTTATAACCTGAAAAGACAAGGTTGGCCCACTATCTCCACTTCTAACTTCAACATAGTGCTGGAAGTCCTTCGCTTACAGCAATCAGACAAGGGGAAGAGCGGAATTAAGGGCATCCAAATGGAGAGCAGAAGCATCAACTCTCACTCTTTTGCTAGACATGATATTATACCTTGAAAACCCCAAGGATTCAACAAGAGACTCCGGTGAATGATAAATGAATTTGGTAAAGTCTCAGGATACAAAATCATACACAGAAATCAGAGGCATTCATATATGCCAACAACAGTAAAAGTGGAGAACCAAATCAAAGACTCAATTCCTTCAAAATAGCAACAAAGAAAATAAATTACTAGAATATGTTTAAATAATGAGGCTAAAAGACCGTCTACAGGGAAATTATTGAAAACTGAAGAAAGAACCAGAGGATGTAAACAAGCGGAAGAATATACTATGCTCATGGGGTTGGCAGAATCAATATTGTTAAAATGTCTATAGTCTATACTACCCAAAGTGACCTACAGCAGTTCAATGCAATCCCTATAAAATAACATCATCATTCTTCACAGATATAGAAAAATAATTTTACGCTTCATATGGAACCAGAGAAGAGCCCGTATAGCAAAATCAATCCTGGGCAATAAAAACAAAATAGGAGGTATCAATTTACCAGATTTCAAACTATACTACAAGGCTACAGTAATTAAAACAGCTTGTGATTGGCACAAGAACAGGGACTGACAGTGGAACGAACAGAGAGAACCAGGATATAAAACCATTCTCATATAGCCAACTAATCTTTTGACAAAGCAGACAAAAACATACACTGTAGAAAAGAATCCTTATCTCAATAATGGTGCTGGGAAAACTGGATGCCACATGTAGAAGACTGAAATAGGACCCACACCTTTCACTTCTTACAAAAATTAACTCACGCTGAGTAACAGACTTGATCATTGGGTGTGAAACTATTAGAATTCTAGAGGAAAACATTGGAAATAATCTTCTAGACATTGGCCTAGGCAAAGAATTTATGAAGAATACCCCAAAGGCAATCACAACAGCAACAAAAATAAATAAATGGGACCTGATCAAACTAAAAAGCTTCTGCAGAGCCAAAGAAACTGTCAAGAGAGCAAACAGACAACCCACAGAATGGGGAGAAAATTTCACAAGCTACACATCCAATAAGGGCTGATAACTATAATCTATTTAGAACTCAGCACAATTAGCAAGGAAAATCAAACAATCCTATCAAAACAGTAGGCAAAGACATGAACAGAAATTTTTCAAAAGGACGACAGAATAATGGCAACAAATATATGAAAAAAATTCTCAATATCTCTATCATCAGGGTAATGCAAATCAAAACTGCAATTAGATATCACTTATTTCCAGCTTAAAATGGCCTTTATCAAAAAGTCCCAAAACAATAAATGTTGGCATGGATGTGGAGAGATAGGCAACAATCCTGTTACTGCTGGTGGACTGCAAACTAGTGCAACCTCTGTGCGAAAGCAATATGGAGATACCTTAAAGTGATATAAGTAGATACCCATTTGATCCAGCAATTCCACTTACTGGGTATCTACCCAAAAGATCAAAAGTCACTTATGAAAAAGACACCTGCACTTGAATGTTTATAGAGCACAATTCACAATTGCAAAGTTGTGGAAATAACCTGAGTGCCCATCAATACATGAGTGGATTAATGAAATGTGGCACTATATATATCTATATATATATATATATATATATATATACATATCATGGAGTACTATTCAGCTATAAGAAACAATGTTGATATAGCACCTCTTGTATACTCCTGGATAGAGCTGGAACCCATTCTACTAGGTGAAGTATCCCAAGAATGGAAAAACAAGCACCACATGTACTCACCAGCATATTGGTATTAACGGATCAATACCTAAGTGGACACATAGGAATGACATTTATCGGGTGTTGAGCAGGTGGGAGGCGGGAGGAGGGGATAGGTATATACAAACGTAATGAGTGAGATGTGCAACATTTGGGGGATGGTCACGCTTGAAGCTCTGACTTGAGGGGGAAGGGGAGGCATGGGCATTATACATAACCTTAACATTTGTACCCCATAATATGCTGAAATAAAAAAAAAAAAGAATAGATTTACTTACCTCTTTTTTGGTGGGTTGGTAATGTTGGTATCATTGTTCTTTCATATATGACTGCAAGTGAATTAGGCTAACACTCCTATTTTAACCTAGACAACATCCAGGTTCTCAACCTTCCTTAGAAGTCAGTGCTCATAGCTTAAGAATGTGGCAAACACCTATAAGCCCAGCTTCCCAGGAGGCTTAGGTGGGAAGATTGCTTGAGCCCAGGAATGTGAAACCAGCCTGAGCCAACAGAGCAAGACTCTGTCTCAAAAATAAAAAATAAGTATTAATAAATATACATGCAAAATACCAAAGAAAAGACTAGAAGCAAATACAAAACAAGAGATGCTGTCCTTCTTTAGTGGTAATATGGGAATATATTTGTATATACTTTTCTGTGTTTCCTAAAATTTCTATCATGAGCATATAAAACTTTAATGTGAGAAGATTGTTTTTAAAGTTACCAGTAGATGTGAAATTTCAGTAAAATAATTGTTTAATTAACAGTTCTTTTCATAGTTCACATATGACACATATTCTTCCATTTTAAGGAAGAGGAACCTGAGCCTCAGAGGGTGAAGTAAGTCCACTAACTATGCATACTTTGGTTCTGAGTTGGTTACACAGTCGTGGGAAGGCTGCACCAGAGCCATCTGGCCCTGGGCCTGGGGGCAGCCAGGGCCCCCAGATGCAGGCGGTTGGTTGGATCCCGGCGTTACGCTCAAAAACAAGTGGAATGTCAGCAGGAAGAGTCCAAGAAGAAATTCGCAGTTAGAACTGGAGAGAACAGGAATGACAGCCTCACCTATCTCTTCTTGCCCTCACCCCTGAATTTCTCCAGATTGAAAAGTTGAAAGCACAAGAAAATTGCTTTTAGAAATCCACACACTGAGGTGCTCACTGAGCATTTTGCACGTGTGAACAGTACGAAGTTATTTCATGTTAATCACGCATCTGCAGCTGTGAGAACTGACCCTTCCGTGTCTCCTTGTCCAGGTGGTCTCGGCGGTGGATTACTGCCACAGGATGTCGGTGGTGCACAGGGATCTGAAGGTGCGTAGAGGTGTCCTAAGTGTGCGCTCTGCCCGCACGTGTTCAGTTCTCTCATCACAAGTGCGGCGCACATTAGATTTTGTCTTAAACATAATAAGGGAAAAGTCAGTCTCATAATAATTGGATCCTTTCAGTCAAGTTCTGGTAGAGCATCAGAAATAAATAAAAGTGAGGTCCATGAGAAGGATTCACATTTCAGTTAAGGTGCTGGTGGTTGTCTGTGGAGGACAGTCACCACACAGCCAAGAGATGCGGGGTCCTTCCTCCGGAGGTGCGTGGTCACGCCTGGACAGGGGCCTCGGGGCCACCTGGAGTTCTTCTCTGCTTCTCCAGGTGGCATCGTCTCCTGTTAACAGCAGCGCCTGTGCGACTCTTTCACGGCCTCCCCGCATGGGATGAGGTTTCCTACTCCACAGAGAAAACGGAAACAGCGGGCAGAAACCCCCCAGTCTCGGCAGAACCTGGATGTGCGGACAGCCGCACCGCGTCCCCGTCTCGGCCACAGGGAAGGCCCTCGACGGCCGCGCGTCCCGCCTCGTCCCGCTCCCTGTCGCCTCCACTCGCCCCGCTCTTCTCAGCAGCAGCGCTGCCCGCGCATGTCCACAGGTCTCTCCCCACGAGTCCTCTCCACCCTCGGCCCCTTCCAGTCACGGCCTACTCTCCAGACACTCTGCACCCATGTCTTAGCCGGGTCCTCACCCTGCTCGCCTTACATGGCAGCGTTGACTTGCTCGTCCCTCTCCTGCCCGCCCTCGGTGGGGTCCTGTTCCTCCCTTAGCTGCAGGGGCACCTGTGTGCTGAGGACCCCCAAGTCCCTTCTTGCAGCCGAGGCTCTCCCAGGGTCCAGGGCCAGCCGACAGAAGGGTGTCTGTCTTCACCGGAGTGTCCCTCAGGCACTCGGTACAGCGAGTTCAAAGCCCAAACTCTTCCTTCCTGAACATGAACCTTCACTGCTCATTCTGGTGACTGCTGTCCCTCAGGTGTCCCTCTGCTTTGCCATCCACTCAGTCACCAGGTCCTTTTACTGCTGTTCTCTAAATATCTCTTACCCTCACTCGCTTTCCTGTCTCTTAACCATCCCAGGCCAGACGCCATCATCTCATACTTGATTATAGCACTAGTTTCCTGCCTGTTCTTCTCTGCTTCCAACTTTCCCTGTCTCTTCTTCTCACGTGTGTTTTCCACATTGCGCCCAGAATGGACTTTTCTAAAACTACAAGTGAGATTGTTATTTCTCTGCATAAACAACTCTTCAGGGGCTTCCCATTGCCCTTAGGATGGAAACCCAAACTAGTTGAGTGCAGCCCTTTGTGATTCAGCCCTGAGCGTCCTCCCAGCCTTCTCTGGCTGAATCTCCCTCCACACACTCCCGCTCGCCTGTGTGTTCTGGACTCTCTGCTCCGCCTGAAACAGCGCTCGTCAACACGAGCGTTAGGACCAGCGGCACCTTCTGGAGCTCCGACATGGCCGCCTCTGGGAAGCAGTCCCTCCCTTCAGCGCCAGGCCCCGGCCGCTCCTCGGCTACACTTGGTCTCAGGGCAGCTGCGAGTCTTTCTGCCTCCCCCTTCTAAAGTGTGGGCTCCCGAGGGCAGGGCCCTGTCTGTCTTGTTTATTATGTGTCCAGACACTAATATAGCATCTGTTGTGTAGTAGCTACATAGTAAATACTTGTTGAAATAAATGGAAGTGGCTGTGATTTGTCTCTTGAATGGGTTTGGGATTCTTCCTTCCCCATTAATAGCCATTTTACAGCTATGTAGCAATTTTTGTAAAATGTGACTATCCACTTCAAGCAAGTGCCCATTTTTTTTTAAAAAGCCCCCGATTATTTTTAATTTTAAAATCTGTCAAAGGGCCAGGCATGGTGGCCCATAATCCCAGCACTTGGGAGGCACAGGCAAGAGGACTGCTTGAGGCCAGGAGTTCAAGACCAACCTGGGCAACATAGTAAAACCTATCTCTATAAGAAACATAAAATTCAAAATTAGCCAGGCATAGTGGCACATGCATGCAGTCCCAGCTACGTGTCAGGCTGAGGCAGGAAGGTTGCTTGAGCCCAGGAGGTTGAGATTGCAGTGAGCTGTGATTGCACCATTGCAATCTAGCCTCAGTGACAGAACGAGACCCTGTCTCTACAAAACAAACAAATGAAAAACACCTATCAAAACCTTTCTTTATCTTGGGGCAGTTGATACTTAAATTAATATATGAATTAATGATGATTATTCTAGCACTTCATGTCTGTTATTGTTAATGTGATAAAATTAGGAGTTCAAATTTGTCTCCTGAATTTTTCCTCTAGAAAAAATGTTTTCTCATTTCATTAATTAGGAGATATTACCTTTATGTCATTACCAAAAGCTTCTTTATGAAGTGCCTAATCTTGCATAGTTCTAATTATACTGTGGTTAAATTTTATTTCTGTTTTGATGTTTTCCCTCTAGCCGGAGAATCTCTTACTGGACACCAAGCACAACATCAAAATCACCGATTTTGGCCTAAGTGCACAGTTCACCCTGGGCACTCCATTGCAGACCTGTTGCGGGACCACTTTATACATGGTCTCGAAGATCTTGGAGGGGAAGAAGTATCACAGCCCCACTGCAGATGTCTGGAGTCTAGGGGTGGTGCTTTATGTATTCATTACTGGCACCATGCCTTTTACTGGGGACAATCCTAAGGTATAGGAAGCGGTTGTATCCATGTAGTACACAAAACTAGAAGGAGTTTTATAAAATTATATGGGTTTATGTTTTTAATGTTTATCAGTTTAGGGAGTTTGGAGGGTTTTCTGTTGTTTTTTAACCTAAAAGTTGACTCACTAGTTTTCTTTCCTCTCTCCCTGCCCACAGGAGATAATAAGAAAGATCAGAAGAGGAAAATACCACATCCCCTCATGTGTCTCCAGAGAGTGTAAAAAACTGCTGAAGGGTTTACTGGTGGTAAATCCACTTGAGAAACACTCTCTCCAGGTAATCACATAAATGGAAATAAGTAACAACTTTGGAGAGTTTTTAGAGTATTTTTGGAACTTAGCTTGGTTTGTGTGGTATACTGAATATTTGCCTGGGACATTTTAAGCAGGAATTGAGACGTTAAAAAAAATTAAGTTACCCTTTGACCTACAGTCAGTGAAATGTTGAAAATAAGTTTCCTAAATATTGAAATTATTGGAATATTTTATTTTACACTGCTAATGAACAGTTCACCTTTTCAGAAAATTATGGACGACGAGTGGGTAAATTTAGGACATACAGAGAAACTGGCACCGTATGTGGAAGACAAAATCACCTGCGATGAGAAAAGCATTGGCAATTACTCTGTGCCTACATGCTTACGTGTGCCTGTGCTTGTGTAAGTAACATATTTCTGTTTGGATTCATGCATATGCCTAAGATGTGAATAACGGAGCGTTAAGCCCATGTTTGTAATGAATCAGCTTATCTTTTCTGTCATATTTAGAAACTTAACTAAATGTAGTTTCCTACAGTAGCACCCAGTAACTCAGAAGCAAGTGCTCATTTGTGTTAGAAAATGTGTGATCTTTAGGTCTAATAAAGAAAATCTTTTTACCTGGTAACAGAATCATTTCTTACCCAAACAAAACACATAAACTGTATTTTACCCTTCTGTTTTAGAGATTCTGCTGAGGATGGGGTGTAAAGAACAAGACATCGAGGAGTCTCTGAAACAACAAGGACCTGATGAAATCAGTGCCACCTATAGGTTACTGGAGGAGAAATCTGTTGAGGTAAGAGTGATCAGAGAGGAAGAGCTGAAATGCCCTTTATGTCAATGATCGGTTTATGTAAACTAGTTTCTTAGTTTTATTTTCTAGATATGTATAACATATTTGATATATCATTTTCTAAATTTACCTGCAAATGCCAAATATAACTCCTATGACCATTGTAAGCTACTATTTGAACTTCAAGATAATCACGCTTAACAAGTAAACAGAACATTTAAAGTTATTTGAAAAAGCCTGGAAAGAAGAACATAAATAAATAACCTTTTGTGACTTTTTCCAGCAGTGGGAAAAATACTTTTGCCTGAGTTTGTGGTTGTCATTTTTAAACACTGTGATTCCACATCTCTCCAAGTGAACTGTTTCTGAGAGGTCTGTGTGTTATGAAAAGTTTAGTTTCCTAAGAAACGATTTGGGTGTGTGTTGTGGCTTGTTGTTTTTCTCATTTTCTCTTAGCTGCATGCTGATGATTCCAGTTCAAGCAGCAGTCTTCCTCTCGCTAGGGTTAGGCCGAGCAGTGATCTCAATAACTTTGATTTTAGTAGTCTGTGAATTATTACTTTACTGATTATTATAAACCACTATCGTAGTCACCCTACCTTAGCCATTTTTCACATTCTTTTCTACCAGAAGAGAGGGCAGAGGTTGCTGTCATCGCTCCCTTTTCTGATCTTTTGGCCATTACTATGGATGTTTTAGCACAGTTTAGTTTAAAGACTGTGTACTCCTGTTTATACAGATGAGTTATTTTTTTTCCTTCATTGTACTGTATTTACCAAATACTTTAAGACAAAAATGCCTTTTTTTAGAATAACACGGCACCTGGTGTCACGAGAGAGGGAAGAGAAAATAGGTACGTTTGCAGTGAGAGAACTACAGATGATAGATACTCAGTGATTCAGAATGGCAAAAAAAAAAAAAAGGTAAAACATTTTACCTATTTGCAAGAAAATTTGTTTTTTTCCAAGAGAAATGGAAGCATGTTATTTATTTCCTGCTTTTTAAATCAAAATTGAGATAATAACAGTAAGTATTCTCTAGCGGTAAGTTAAATTTGAGTGCTAATTTTTGGCAAGATACTAGGATTCCAAATTCTTATCTCAGGCACCATCCTCCTGGCTGGCTCGCTGTGTGTGATGATTGAAAGGATGGAGTTAAACCAGGGAGGTTTCCTAGAGGAAGCAGATAGTAAGTAAGCCATGGTTTCATTGTACAACAGTGAATAGGGAAATAGAGATTATTTTGTGCACATTAATAACTTGAGCAAAGGCCGGGGGGTGGTGGGGGAGCGGGATGAGGACCTGAGGCAGGAGCCACACCTCTGGGAGATGTAGAGAGCAAGGTAGAGACAGTGAGTGCTCAGCAGTTTGCCAAAGGCTCCAGGTGGCCACGTAGTAGCACCGTCTCTACCTAAGAAAGAGAGACATTTGAGCATCCAAGAGAAATGGAGTGTCTAGTCTTCTCAATGTTTTTAATCTGGTTGAGGGCCAAGCATACATAGAATGAACATGATTTAAAATACTAATGAAGTAATCTGTCAATAAAGACAGCATCATATGCGGGTGACTTTCTTGAGGATATGAAATAGGAAATCAATAGAATCAGTAAAGTAGAATTATTTTTGGAAACATGAGGGGTTAGGGTTAGCTGTGGGGGGAGGAGAGGAGAAAAGGACAAAGGTGGGTTGGTAGAGAGTAGTTAAATATGTTTTATTCTGTATAGAACCAATTTCCCAGGATGGCATGGATTTTCCTTCTTTGTTTTCAGAAGAGTCTCATATCAACTAAATTCAAAGATAGAAATAAAGAGACTAAAGTCTAAGTGAGTCCTGGGGTAAAAATGTATAAAAATCAGCTTGCATCCTCCTAATTTGAGCAGTTTGGTCATGAAAGCAAACCAAAATTGTTTTTGTATTTCCTTCTAACATTTACTTCCTGAAACTGCATTGTAAGGTTTCTGTTTCCTTAATCACAGCCTTCCATTTGTTCTCTTTAGTGTAAAGAAATGTTTGATCACTCACTAACATGACAGCCTAAGCACAGATTCTTCTTTCCTCCTTCCTCCCTAAAACCAAACTATTTATCATTTCCCTATGTCACAGACCACTGCAGTTTGAATTGTTATGGGGAGTAAAGCTTGTTATGTAAGACTATGTTTATTATTCCGTGAAGTTTAGCAATATGTACATTCCCAGTGTTCTTTTTTCTGACTTCTATGTGTTTTAACATTATATTTTTCCTTATGGTTAAAAACTATTAAGAACTTAATTGAGTATCATAACTGGGCTAATTTGCGGAGAGTGATTGCATAGTTATTTCTTATTAGTAGTTTATTCTCTGGTAGATTTTCTTTTATTATAGTTCTGTTCTCCATCATGTCTTCTAGTTCAAAAGTGGCTTAGAAGATGTCAGTAGAAGACTTAATTAGAACTTTCTAATGTCACAAATTTCAGTCTACGGGACTAGAAAACTGTTGTTTCATGCCCTTTCTTATTTTTACAAAAGCGTCTACATTGTTGAACTGCTCTACTGAGCGCCTTCTGAACTTCAGGATATGTGACTGTGAGTTGCAGAGTCAGATTCTTCCAGGTGTGCACACCAGCGCTGTCCTCTGGTGCCCGTCCTGTGTCTGTGGGTGTACACACCCCAGGCACTGCACATTATGCCTGCGCTCTTCTAATTCCCCTTTCTTACAGTTTCTCATTTCACTCTTTGAAAACAGTTTTTAAGGCTTCTTTAATTTCTTTGGAGTCATTTCCTTTCTGTGCTCCCCCTGCAGACACCTCCCTTACTGAAGCTGATGCCTCCGGGTCCTGACCTGGGCCTCCTTGGTTCCCTTACCGTGAATGATTGAAATACTTTGCTTTTGAAAGTGTGGTCTTTATCTTTAGCTGAACAGAGCCTCAGTGCGAAAACGTATATGACCGTGCCCACAGCTTTAGTAATATCTGCATTTTCCTTTTATTTCTATCTGAAAAATGAAAGACTATCTAAAATAATTGGGTTTGAGGGCTGAACTACTAGTGGTCATATTTTACTTTCAGATAAGGCACCCAGTGTGACAAGTTTTTGTCCCTTAAAAATAATGCTTGTAGCTGTGTGTGGTGGCTTACATGTATAAATCTGGAACTTGGGAGGCCAAGACTGGAGGATTGCTTGACGTCAGGAGTTGAAGACCAGACTGAGAAAGAACAAAACCCCATCTCTACCAGAAATAGAACAATCAGCTGGGCATAGTGGTGCAGGCCTATAGTCCCAGCTACTACAGAGGCTGAGGAGAGATGATCACGTGAGCCCAGGAGTTTGAGGTTGCAGTGAGCTATGACATGCCACAGCATTCTAGCTGGAGCAACAGAGCAAGACCTGTCTCCAAAGAAATGATGCTTGAGTCTTCAGTTGGATGCTGTATGCCTTCTCTGAACAGATTACTTCTTAGGCGGATTATTGCTTTCTCTTCTTCTCTCTGATCTATATATCTTACCCCTTCACTAACTGAAAATACTAGTGAGCTACAGGATGCCTGGACCTATGTTAACTTCAGAAACAAGCACATAACTTCCATTTTTCAGCCTTCAATATGTTGGACTTTTTTCTTTTATATGTGTTTATATGAAATTCTAACATGAGAAGGATCATGGCTGATAAAAACTGTGCAAAGGTTTGAATCAAAGGCTCTACATGCTTTAAATGAGCCATTGATGAGGTAAAAATACAGCTGATCCTTGGTCTGGGGGCAGGGTGCATAGTTTTTGGCAAGTGGTTGCTTTGACACAGGGATCTCTGAGTGGAACTGTGAGTAAGGCTCATGTTGAACCCAGGCGTGCTGAAGGTCAGCATACTTTCTGCTGGAATCCTCGTGAGGCTGCTGCTCTACTTCTGTTATCCGTTTCCAAACATGGCCTGGTCCCAACCATCAGACTAACAGTGCACATCAACTAGGCTTAGGCTTTAGAAGGCTTGATTACATCTTGAATGGTTTGATTCTGTCCAGATGGAGTAGTTTCACAGTGAGTCTTAAACCACTGAGCACAGGCCTGACAGACAGTGCTCTAAGTATACACTAAGTATACCTAATCTCTCAAGATAATGTTGCTGAAGAACCTACACAGCAGGGATGCTCTGCCCCACTTTTTCATATGCTTTTAGATATCTGCATGAGGCTGTTTAGATTCCCTTCATTTGAAGACCTCCCAAGGAAGTAACATGATGGTGTTAGGATAAAACACAACAGGATCTTTTCAAGAAGTTTGAAGTATTGGATATCACTGGCAAAATTTTTAAATTGTCAAGGGGCTTTATTATTTTATCCACGTATCCACTTGCTCTGCTTTGAGCCACAGAGGTGTGTTTTGCACTGTATTTTTAAGTCTGCTTTTGCGCAATCACTGAGTATGCTTTTAATTGGCAGCTAAAACATTTTGTATCAGAATTGTCTGATATGGGCTAGATGTTCTAGTTAACAAATCCAGAGTGCCTGTCTTTTAGGAACTTGGAATTTTAAGGATAATCACTTCTTGATACAAAACAAGATTAATAGGAATTCAACTTCATGCAACTTGAATTTTAAGAAAAACACTGCTATTTCTTTAAGATTTAAATGTAATACAGCTACTGTTTTGCTTATATAGATCATTGTGTGCTAGACTGTGAAATATAACCATCATTTTGCACACTTTTCTGGGGGGAAAACATTGTTCAAACTTTCTTAACAATGAACTTGATGAACTTTTAGAATATGCAGCCCATAGTGATATTAGGGCTGTCTGTTGTAATTAGAATTTTTGTGAGTTTCATCGTAGACATAAAATTCAGTGGATATTTGCTGCATTTACTGTTTCCTGCATCAAGATGGTAGGCCTACCGTAGAAGTGAGAAAAACAAATGTTTTGCTAATTCCTATGTAGAACTTGTGATGAAACATGAATAATTTCTGAAGAAATATTTGCCTTTAAAATTAGTATGTCAAAAAATTTAATAATTTATAATAAAATGTTGATTTACATTTCCTACTTAGAAAGGTCCCTTTGATGAGGATCAGTTTTCACTGCGGAACATCTGTCCGTGCCCGCCTCGCCATGCTGGCATGCCTCCCAGGTCTCCCTGCACCATCTGGCCGGTCGGCAGTGAGCTGCCTGGGGACAGACGGAGCGGCCTCTTGCTCCGTGGGAGGCTAAAATCCTTTCTTTCCCCAGAGTCTTTGGGACCCTTTGCACTCACAGGGAAGAAGCTACACCACTCCTGCCTCCCCTTCTCCTCCTGTTGTATTTGGTGCGTCCATTGACCCGGGCTCCTTACTGTGGCAAAAAATGTCGGCAGTGGGCAGGGGGTACATTTTGTTGACCCCTGACCTGCCCTGAGAGACAGACAGCACAAAAGTCAGTTGTGTTTGTCTGTACCTTAACATTATGTGAACACATGCATCTGTGAGTCTGTGTGCATGTGCTGGGAACAACCCGGCATTCTTCACCTACTTGAGTCACTGAGGACTCTCTGTTTCGGGTGGCAGAAAACCCCAGTCCAAACAGGCCAACGTGAAAGCGGCATCAGTTAGGTCATACAACTAAAAAAGTCCAGGCCTAGAGTCAGGGTCCATCTCCGAGTTCTGCCTCCTCTGTGGTAGTTCCACAGCTGAGCTCTGCATGTTTACATCCAGCATCTTCCTGCACACAGCTCTGCTAGAACTGGAGCCCGGGCTTGTCGCCATGGTCTGTGTGTGCTGGCTCTGGGCTTCTCTGAACCTGTTGCTGGCCCAGGTCGCTGGGAAAAGTCTGGGGTGGAGTCAACTTCTTCTGCAGCCGGGGGAACTAGAGTTGCTTTCCCTAGAGCAATAGTTAAGGATTGTTGCCACAGGAAAAGAATGGATACTGCGTGGCAATCAAAGGAAACTGAAGGTGTTTGTTTCCAGTCCTTCTCTGACTCTATGGAGCCATTCTCCAGGCAGAGGGCAGAATTCTCAAACAGAAATGCAGGGCCAAGCAGCTCTTCCTGAGCAATTTATTTCAAAGACATGTCTCCCTCATGCTGGGGCTATCGGAATCCCTGTGGCTACATTATTAACTGATCTGTTCTATCAGGAGAACATTTACTGAGCACCTGCTCTGTCAGGCTTTCTGCTGACACTGGTGGCACATTGACAAGACTATAGCTGTGCTTTGGCAGGGAGCTCCAGGAAGGAAGTGTCCCTACAATACAATGTGGCATGTGTGAACTAGAATCACAGCAAGAAGTGATTTTACTCTCATTGGGAGGGTGCATCAGGGTAAGACTTCATGGAGGAAATAATCTCTGGATGAATTTTGAAGAGTGAGTGGAAAGACATCAGCCCTTTAGCCATAGAAACAGCAAGTATTTTCTGACCTGGTGCTTTACCAAGGGACTGCACATCACCAGGAGGGCCAGAAAGTCAAGCTTCCGGAGCCATCATGGAAGGCAAAGCCTGGTGAGATGGCAGAGATTAGACTGCAGGGGCCCAGGATGTGTGACTTACATGCCAGGGTGAGGAGTCTGAACTTGATCCTGAAGACTCAGGATGCTCTAGAAGGTTGTGAGCAGATGAGTGACAAAGTCGAGTTAATATTTTAGGAAGTCCTAGGCAGTTGAGTTGGATAGACTGGAGGTGGGGGCAGAGGCAGGGAGCCCCGTGAAGATGAGATCTGAGGCTCTGCTCTGAGACCCTGGCAGTACAAGTGGAGAGGACGGGCCAGCTGAAGGCTGTCAGGAAGCTGACACCAACAAGATGTCATAGCTGGTCTGGACAGGGGAAGCGAGGGAAAGGAAGAACCTGCTCCCTTCCAGGTGTCAGTCCTTTGAAAGGATTTCTGCAGAAAGACACTAGAAGACTAAGATCAGAATTCTGAATCTTTGCTTATCCTTAAATGAAAGAAACTACACCCTTGGAACTCCAAGGACATGATGGCTGAGCTGGAATTGAGGAATACTGTCCTGGTGAGACTCCTGTGGGTAGTTGTGTCCAGTAGCTGTCTGTGCCAGGTAGAACTGCAGGCTTCCAGCCACTGTCACTCTTTCTGTGTCTATAAACAGTTCAATTTTTTCTAACAGGTTTTTGTTTTTGGGAAAAAAAAATGGCTCTGTTCACCCTGTAGGGATTTTGACTATTCTTTATAAAGGATAAAGGGATTTTGACTATTCTTTATAAAGGATAAA